TGGGAAACTAATTCTTACAAAGATTTGGGAACTTATAATGCTGAATTAATTTTTGGATCTAAGAGACACAATTAGTAACCACTGTGCTAATCATAGGTCTCTTTTATTTATACTTGACTTGATTCTTGCTCATCCAGATGAACCAAGCTACAATACAGAGAATAACAAGTAAATTAGCAGCTTTCCAGTTAGTCCAGCTGAAGGAAAATTGAAAACTACTCAATTTGAAACTATCTAGCTTCAATTTATCAATGAGGTAGGACTAGACCCTCTAAGAGAAGGAGCAAGTGAAGAACATGTGTTCGAGGGACTCCTCATTGTCACAACACAGGCAACAACAAGAAGGTCCTCTGAATTCCTTAAGCTTTAGAATATCATCAGTGAGTAGTAGCAGTTGCCAACACCTCCAACCGAAAAAACACATAGAGGGGGTTAGAAATTTCTCCTAAATAGCTTTACACCAAATTACATGATCACACTAAAAGAGTTTATGATAAATGAAAGAAGAAAGCTTTTGAGAGAAGGCTTGCTTAATGACAAGTTTATCTTTTTTCTCAGAAGAAATAGGAGCATTCTTGACAAGATTAACTTGATCAGTTGTCAGAAGAGTGCTTAGCATTCTACTATTCCATTGGTTTTCCTCCCAATAATCCTTCACTTGATTGTTGTAGTTGCTACCAGTTACAGTAGCAGAAAGTTTCTCCACATTCTAGACCCACTATTCCAAATAAAAGTTAATTTGGCCTTCCTCCAGTTCCCAAATAAAAAGCTCTTCAGTCTGATCTCTAACATCCAACAAATGTGTCCAAGGCATGAAGTCAACCAGCTTTTTGGAGACAAGAGTTGGATGCACATTTTGACAGTATTTTCCCAACATGAATTGGACCAAAGACTGTTTTGAGCTCTAAATTTAATCTGTAAGATGAATAAGTTAATAAAACTAAGGTGTTGCAAGCTCTTAAAACCAAGTCCACCAGCTTGATGAGGTTTACAAATCTTCTGCGAAGGTAACCAATGAAATTAATTTTTTTGTCCAGCCCATAGAAACTTATTAAAGATCCTCCCAAGGGAAACCTGTGTACCCTTCTTCACACAGAACATTAGAGTTCATATGAGGGGATGACAGAGAGTATACTTTGCAACATAGTGATTCTCCCCCCATTGGAAAGGAAAGAAGCTGTCTATCAATTAAGTTGGGCTTTCATCTTATCAATGATCTCATTGAATTGAGTTTGTTTGGTCCTTCTCTTAAGCAGTTGTACCCCCAGGTAATTAATGGGAAGAGAGGCAGTGCTGAATATAGTGAAATCAGAGATTCACTATTTAATGTGATGCTTGGAGTTAAAATAAAGAAAATTTGACATTTTTGATATTTTAGATCCATTCCAGAGATTTGATGAAAATGGTTAAGACCCTGAAATAATACTTTGACATCCCTTTTAGAAGGATTGGAAAATAAAATAACATCATCAACATAGGATAAATGACTAATGATAATTTTGGACTTGAGATTATATGTCAAATAAGGAGAATTAATAAACATTTCATTTAGGACCGTCGATAGATAGTTAAATGCTAGAATTAAAATGGTGGGAGATAAGGGGTCACCTTATTTGATGCCCTTAGTAGCATGATGCATAAAAAATAAATGCATTTTTAGACCTATATTTTATACTTATTTTTTTTGACATTGTGCTTTAAAGGAAGGTATTTTTCATGTTTTATTGCAGGTTGATGATTTTTAGCACTTGGAAAAAAAAGGAAGCAAAAAGTATGAAATTTGGAGTCAAAATGGCGCTTTGGTGAGAAATACTCAGCGCCGGTGCAGCCAGCATGAAGGAAGGACTCTAGAATAGTGGGGCACCAGCGGCGCCAGTTTATAGAGAGCTCCAAATTAATTTTGGGCCACTGGCGCCGACGACGCCAATGTTCATGCTGGGCAATTTTCTGGAAGATTTGATGAATCTAGATGATTTTTGAAGAGTCACTTGACACATCTCTTGGAAAATAGACATTATGCTCTATTTAGAGCAAACATTGGTTAGAAAAACAAGTCCTTTACTGTCTCATTATTTTCCACTAGTGTTCCATTGTGTGTATTGTGTAGTGTGTTGAGTCTTGAGTCAGTTCTTTGAGTTTGGTGGTGAGTCTAAGTGTGATTTCTCCTCTAAGGGTTGTTAGAGAGGGAGAGAAGTGATAGATTTCTTCTTCCTTTACATCTTCTAAGAGAGAATCAAGAGTCTTGTAAAGAGAGAAAGAGACTCAAGAGGAGCTTCAAGGGATTTACTTTGAGGAAGGGTTACAAATAAGTGGTGCTTGTTTATTATTATTGTATAAACTTTCTTTTATTTATGAAAATTATGTTTTTTTGTTCTTCCTCATGAGTTCTGAGTAGTCTTCTTGTTATTCTCCCACTCTGAGATATGGTGAAATGAAGAGATAATTTGGATATACCATTTTAAGATTTAAAAATAACTTGTGTTGATTTTTTCACTCTATTCTTAATTTACTTTTCGATCTGGCCAATTGAAATGTTAAAATCTGTTGTGAAACATACTGAAACATACGATCCAAAACATACGATCCAAGAAATGGAGTATGAGTTCCACAACAAAGTGAGAATCACATTCTATTCCATGAAGGAGTGTTTCATTCATGAAATTGGGTGCAAATAAATAGCGAATTATATATTACTAGGCTAAGAATGGGAGATTTAGGGTGACAGACTAAAATCTCCAATTTGGTCATAGTTTTTAGGAACTAAAGCGAGAGTTAGCCTTCAAGGGAAGGGAAGTGGGAGCTCTAAAGTGAGAGCCAGTATCCTCCCAGCCTAATCACAGATTTAGGGACTAAACCTAAGATTAGCCAATGATTCTCTATAACACTTGACTAAGTGTAGAGAATTAAAACTACTATTAAAATTCTTCCTATTTGGCACAATACAATTTGAAACCATTTATCTCCTCTCATTTAACCAAAAACTCATTGTGGTGAGAAGGTTGCTTTCACATATTTGATACCTTTTGATAATTCTCATATTTGATAACTTCGTCACAAAAATATAAAGATTGTTTAGTAGTAATTGCTTAGCTTTGCTTTACAGTTTCACTAGTAGTTGGTAATTTAGTTCTGATAGCACCCTAAATATTTTAAATTAGTGTAGTAGATTATCTTTATCATTGTGAATTTCTTGATTTAAATTTCCATTACAAATTTACACCTTCCTCATGGGATCGATATTTGGGGCTTAATCAGAAAGTCCTGTATTACTTGATAACGACACATATACTTGCGTAGACTCCCAATATTTGCTTCAATTTCTTATTCATCAATAGCCAATCAAGTTTTTTCACTGTTGCAAAGTGGAGTCAACCTTATTAATTTTACACATCTATAATTTTGGGATCATTACACTGAAAAATCCAAGACTCTTGCCATTAACCAAGACAGAGTAAGCATGGCATTTGAGCCATCTATCCATGAGAATGAAAAAATTAGCTTAAAAACCTCTAGTTGTTAAAGTATTCAAGATAAATTCCCAACTAATTGTGTCATAAGCTTTCTTGATATCTAATTTGAAGATTACTTTATTCCCTCTGCATTTTCTATCCAGATCAAGTACGAGCTCTTGAGCAAGAACAATATTATCAGTGATATTCCTTCCTTTCACAAATGCAGCCTGGTTAGCAATAATGAAATTATAGAGGTGTGGTTGGAGTCTAAACACCAAAATTTTACTAATAACTATAGAAATAACATTTGTAAGACTGATAGGCTTGAAATCTCCCTACGTTTTTCTAAGCTTGTTTTTAGGAATTAAAGTGATGGTTGAAGTACTGAAGTATCTGGGAGGATCCATAGCTTTGAAGAAGTTCTGAACAACAATAATTACCGCTACCTTGATCTTAGACCAGGCAGCCTTATAAAAAGTAGAGGAGAACCCAACTGGCCCAGCAAATTTTTACCCATCAATGGAATCAAGTGCCAATTTAATTTCATCTTCCAATGGAACCTAAGTGATGTTAGGCCCTTGCAAAAAATCTCTGCAATTAAAAAATGGATGATCTTGAATGTGAGGCATGGGAGCTGGCCTACTAGTAAAAAGGTTCTGAAAATATTTAATTTCATCAATTGCAATTTCTTCAGCCTTTGTGAGATCATTACCCACATAATTAGAGATGGATAGGATCATGTTGCACTTTCTCTTAAAATTTATACAAGCATGAAAATAACTTGAATTATTTTCCCCTTAAATTGACTTGGTAATGTCAGCTTTCTGTTTAAGGAAAGTATCATAGTAATTAATTTGTGAAAGGAGGGTCTCATTAGCTTTATATAACTCAACTTCAGAGAATAATCCCAATTAGAAATTAGCTTCTACTTTGAATACCTTATCTTCAGCAGCTTTTAAATTATCTTGAACATTTCTAAATTTCTCTCAGTTCCAATTTTTGAGGTGTATAACCACCTTCTTTCGAAGTTTTCAGAGGTTCACCCAAGGGTTGGCAGCATTGTCTGGATTAATCCCTTTTTTCTTTTCTTTCTTCTTTTTTTTATGTATGTGAGGATCACTATATCTGGATAGCCTTTAATGATTTTGAATTGAATTTCATGCCTTTAATGATTTTGAATTTCATTATCCTCTTCTTAAAGTTAAAAACCTTTTAGATTTCTTCGCTTAACAAATTTATATTAACTTAAAAATTACATAAAGTTTAATTCTTTTCTTTTTTTACATGAATCTTTCAAGATTTTTAATACTTAAAAAATACAAATTCCTTTACTTAAAATAGAAAAATACTTTACTTAAAAAATACAAATTCCTTTACTTAAAATAGAAAAACATATTCTTATTCTCTTTTACCAAATATTAACCTTTATTATTGAAACCTTTATTATTGAAAATTTTTTACTTAAATTTGCTATATATTTAGAAACATAAATATAGTTGCCCCCAATACTTACCCCCAATTCCTTGTATAACTGCTTGGTTTATATGGATGGCTAGGAACAAGATTAAATATGAAGACATCTGGGTGGCAGCTGCTACCATTGCTACCAACTGCATCAACTACCTGCAGAAATTATATTGTCATGGGAAGCGTCCTGATATCCTTCACAGTACATCCCATAGTCTTCCCAGAAAAATCAAGTATGCACTCATCCATTGGATTCCTCCACCAAATGGGGGAATTAAAGTTAACACAGATGGTAGCTTTTCTAATCCTTATGCTGGTATTGGAGGGGTGTTCAGAAATAATAATGGAAAGTGTTTACTCTATTGTCATTCTCCTGTTATTGCTAGGGACCCTCTGGAGGCTGAAACAGTGGCTATTTTTTGGGCTATGTTTATGGCCCAAAAGTGTAGCTTCACCTCACTTATCTTAGAATCTGACTCCAGGGTCCTTATTGATATTATTGAAGGGAGGTTACCTACTCCTTGGTACCTGTTGCAGTGGATTGAGATGATTCACTCCTTGGGAGAGGGTATCAGATCCGCACACTCCCATATATAGAGAGAAGGTAATAGGCCTGCCAAATGGCTAAAGAAAGAGATTGGCTGTGTAAGGTTTGCCTTCATTTTGAGCTCCCTGGGGTAGGCACTTCTACTACCCCTCAATTAGAGTTATTGTTGAAAGGATACATTGTTGCTCTTCCTTTCATTAGTGTTTTTT